TCCGCACTCTTCCTGTTAGGAAGTGTCGTAACAACAAGCAGTCATGGCAGCAATTATAATAATTTGGGTTATTTGCTCATCTGCTCCGCAGAACAAAGCGATATTCGGCATCTGGCTAGATCAGACCGTCTCTTACTAGGAGATTGAACACAGTAGATTTATCAAATGCCCCTCAAAACACCATTCACTAAAAAGGTAAACTCATACATCCCAGAATATCTAGGGTAGCTAGTTGAAGGGGTTCCAGATATGCAAATGGAGGGAAACGAGCGTCGCAGCAATGCTGCGACAACGCTTCCAGCCAAAACAGGAAGTGACATCATTGTGCCAGCACAATGCTCGAGGATTCCACCCGAGTGAATCTGTAGTGTATTCAATAGCTGTCATTGAATGCCTAAACATGTATGCAAATCACCTCATAGAAATGTAATGTTAAGCTTCGTCCTGGGATAGGATCCAAATACATCCAATCGCATGGCTAGCCCAGGAAGAACCAACCAATCGCATATCAGCAATCTCCCTGAGCGGGAACATCGATGATTGGTCCTTATGTAAACAATCTCATTGGTTGGTAATGTACAGTAAAGGCGTGGCTACATTAGCCGGGAGATGTTGATCCGTGTTGGAGTTCTGCTCGAGTTGATGAATAAAGCTATTTCTTTGCTGAATCACTCTCCGATTACTTTGTTAAGTGAGTGACTTAACAGAATCCTAGAGCGTCACGCAGACTTCACATCCGGGTTGGCACCAGAAATGACATCACGGTACTGCCATGACGCCTATTTCATCCCATTTTCCCCCTCTACTGGGAGCTGGTGGGCACCATGAGGTTCACAGTACGTATCACACACCATTTTAAAAAAAATAGCTCACAGTTGTTCCTCTTAGGGCGCTAGGCACGATCACTCACCAATAATTTTAGATTACTGACTGGATACTATCAGTTAGAGAGCCAATATGGTGTCGTGGTTAAGAGCGGTGGACTCTAATCTGGAGAGGGGCGCTTTGAGTCCCCGCTGGGGGGAAAGGCAAGGTATATATGAATTAAATAAATTAACCACATGACACTGGCCCTTAAGAGCTGAACGTTCAATATGACCTCTGCTTGATTTTCAAATATGCCTCTGCTGCTGTATGTAACAACAGCAAGGGTAAGAGCAAAATAGAAGAAGAGTTGGTTTTATAACCCGCTTTTCACTACCCGAAGGAGTCTCGAAGCAACTTACAATCGCCTTCCCTTCCTCTCCCCATAACAGACACCCTGTGAGGTAGGTGAGGCTGAGAGAGCTCTTTTGAGGACTGCTTGGGAGAGAACAGCTCTGAGAGAACTTGTGACTGACCCAAGGTCACACTAGCAGCTGCATGTGAAAGTGGGGAAGCAAACCCGGTTCTCCCAGATTAGAGTCTGTGCTCCTAACCACTACACCAGACTGGCCCTCTGGGTTTGTATAAGGTTACCTAGTGAACGAGGTGAAAAAAAGAGTTGGATTTATACCCCCCCCTTCACTCGATGTCTCAGAGCAGCTTACAGTCTCCTTTCCCTTCCTCTCCCCACAACAGAAACCCTGTGAGGTAGGTGGGGCTGAGGGAGCTCTGAGAGAACTGCCCTTGAGAGAACAGCTCTGAGAGAACTTGTGACTGACCCAAGGTCACCCAGCTGGCTTCACAGGGAGCAGTGGGGAATCAAACCTGGCTCTCCAGATTAGAGTCGGCCGCTCTTCACCACCACAAAAGCTAGCTCTCTAGATAAACTATAGATTTGTTTTGTGGGTCTACATTCATTCTTCTGCTCACTAGGAATACAATGAGCAGGAGACAGCTGTGGAGACTCTCTACCGAATTCTTCGGAAGCACGTGAACTGAGAACGACGTACGTAAAACCAGAAAGCACAGAGACAGCAGCAATGAGCAGCTGAATTACACAGCAACCACTTCAGACGGAGGTGTCCTTCCGCTGCGCTCTTAATTTATGGTTATAATTATCCAAACCAGAATGGCTGCTATACCACGGAGATAACAGCAACCTCTAATGTACCGCAGCATCCCTGCATCTGGGGTTCCTAGAAGAGGAGTCGAGACACATTCGCATAACATGAAATCCCTGTATAGCAGGGTTCCCCAACGTGGTGCCCGTGGGCGGCACCGCACCCGCCGACACCTTTTCCGGCAACCACTAAGTCTTCTTAGGAAGTGGGCAGTGCTCCCTCTAAGCTGAGTCAGTGTGAGCTAGCTCACAGTTTTTTAGCCTCCGGCTCACACATTTTTGTTTTAATTCAGGAAGGAGGGCTCCAGAGCAAACTGATTTATGCAGTAGCCAAATTGCTCGCTCACAACTTTAATGCCAGTAGCTCACAAAGTAGAATTTTTGCTCACAAGACTCCACAGCTTAGAGGGAGCATTGGAAGTGGGCGGAGCCAGATACGGCTTTGGCCCAGCAAAGCTTCTGGTTCTACTGTTAAGAGATTTGATTGGCTGGGCAGACATTGGGAAACACAGAATCATAGAATGTTAGAGTTGGAAGGGACCTTGCAGGTCATCTAGTCCAACCCCCTGCACTCTGACTAGGGTCACACCAGGATCTCTCACACCTCATAAATTACTCGAAGCCACAGTGACTGTGTTGTTTACTAGTTGTTTACAAAGCAGATTCACCTCATGCTTTCATACCCTGCTGCGACATATCATAATAACTAACAGGGGTCATTTCCTGCAGGAGCGCACAGGAGCGGCGCTCCGGCAGTAAAGAGCCCAGGGGATGGGCACATGCAACAAGCCCCACCCCCTGCTCCCAGCAGCCCTCAGTCAGAGGAAGAAGCAGCCAGGTAAGTTGCAGAGCACACACCCCCAGCCCCCCAGCCCAAAACAGTCCAGTGGCACCTTTAAGACCAAGTTTTATTCAGGTACAAGCTCTCCCTCCTCTGCGAGGACAGATCTGCACATCCCCCCCCCCAATAGCTAGCAATCCAAAAGAGTCCAATGGAGCCTGAGCGGTGGGCAATGTTCCCTCTAAGCCGTAGAGTCTTGTGAGCAAAAATTCCACTTTGTGAGCAACTGGCATCAAAGTTGTGAGCGAGCAACTTGGCTACTGCATAAATTAGGTCTGGAGCCCTCCTTCCTGAGCTGAGACGAAAATGTGTGTGCCGGAGTCTAAAAAACTGTGAGCTAGCTCACACTAACTCAGCTTAGACGGAACACTGGTGGTGGGTGTTGCCTTCTGACACACTTCCGGTGATGTCAGGGGGTGTGGCATATGCAAATATTATCTAATGAGTTGTGCTAATGAGCTCCTGCACCTCTTTTTCAACGAAATGACCCCTGATAATAACTAACCATCGTTGGTGGAGCGGCCTGCGTCTGGACTCTCACTCCAACCATTAATTAAAGGAGGGACTCCTCTGACGTCTCAAGGGAGTCTCTATACCAGGGCTCCGCCAACCTTTTCTAGCCCGTGTTTACCTTTTGAATTCTGACACAGGGTGGTGGATGCAACCGCAAAATGGCTGCCTCAGGAGGCGGAGCCAGCCACAAAAGGTCAGGGAGCGAGGACAGAACGTAACCGATGCTCCCTCTAAGCTGTGGGGTCTTGTGAGCAAAAATTCTACTTTGTGAGCTGCTGGCATTAAAATTGTGAGCGAGCAATTTGGCTCCTGCATAAATCAGTTTGCTCTGGAGCCCTCCTTCCTGAGCGAAGACAAAAATCCGTGACCTGGAGGTTAAAAAACTGTGAGCTCGCTCACACTAACTCAGCTTAGAGGGAACACTGATACGTAACTCTAACAATAACTGTTCAACATTTCAGAAACTGAGAACAAATGCCCTTTTCACAAGTATCCCTTATTTTGACATATTTATTACGTTGCTATCCTTCCCCCCCCTTAATTAAATCAAAACCACCATTGACCTTATAACCTTAGCTCGTTATTTAGTTTTGACTTTGCATATCTTAAAGCATCTGCATTATGTTACATGTTAATTTGCTGCTCAGCCTCTGTCTACGAGTTTGAACTCTACCTTCCATCCCAATGTATTTGGAAAAAGTGTGCTTTGCGCACAAAAAGCTCACACCTTGAATAAACCTTCGTTGGTCTTAAAGGTGCCACCGGACTCTAAATTTATTTTCTGCTTAACAGAAAGCCTTTTTAAAAGGGGCGTCTTCTTTTTAAACATCTTCTTGACAATGTTCCCTCTAAGCCGTGGAGTCTCATGAGCAAAAATTCTACTTTGCGAGCTACTGGCATTAAAGTTGTGAGCGAGCGATTTGGCTACTACATAAATCAGTTTGCTTTGGAGCCCTTCTTCCTGAGCTAAGAGAAACATGTGTGAACCAGAGGCTAAAAAAACTGTGAGCTAGCTCACACTAACTCAGCTTAGAGGGAACACTGCTTCTTGATTATTAAAGAGAAATGTTTGTTCATATCTACATTACTTTAAGGGCGCCTTTCTCACTGGGACCCCAGGCGGATTACACAGAGCGGGCCATCCCACAAAATATCCGTGGGGGACCCCTGCTCCACACCGCATCCGAACAGGCAGAGATGCCCCACAGCTCAATATCCTTTCCGACACGTTCAGAAACAGACACTGGCCTTTCCAAATCAATTATCCGCGGCCGTTTTACGCGCCATTCGTAGCACTCACCCTGAAGGGTTGATCGGGGATAAACGGGAAGTAAGGAAGGGACGACTGTTCTTCACCCCATTCGCCGGATACGCACGAATTCCTGAGGAACTGCCTGTCCGGGAAGATGGCTTTCAGTTCGATGGCAACGTCGGCCGGCGGGTCCTCCGAATCTCCGCAGGTGAGGCTGATGTCAAAGCTGCAAAGGGGGACAGGGACGTTCTCATTCTCTCGGAAGGGTTACCGGATCCAAGGCGGAGCGCGCTCACCTTCCCAGCTTCTGCCGACCTGCACATCCGAACTTGTCTTCCTGGCCGCCGGCCAAGAATGACATTATGGGTAGGCCGGCGTTGGTTCCTGCCTCACTAATCTTCTCCCCCCCCCTCAGAATCACTCCATACACAAGCGGTTGTTTTTTTCCTTCCCCTACATGGAGATTATCTCTATTTAGAACCACGTCGTGTACGAAAGCGGCCCTTCGAATTCCCAAGGGAAAGCTGGATTTTTTTTTAAAAAAAACCCCTCGGGGTCAAAGGAGAAACCCCGCTTTCTATATTTACCACCGCGGACGAAAATAGGCCATCTTCAGAAACCAAGGAGGCTTGGCAGGGCGCGTTCTTTTTTGTGTGTGTGGGAACGGCGTACTTTTCCTGGGTGTTTTTTTGGGGCCGGGGAGGCCCAGCCAATCCCGCCTCTCCCGTCCTATTTACCTCTCCGGGTTGAGATCCACGATGCCCATGATCAAGACCTTCTTGCCGGGCCTCATGCCTCCTTTGATGTGTCCACAGAACGGGACTATCTGCGGGGAAGGGAAGGGAAAAAGCATTGAAAGGAATCAGAGGCGAACCTCCAAAACAGGTGCCCAAAGATAACCAGGGAGAAGGATGGGGGAGAAAGGCAAGATTCCCTTACCAGCCGTGGGAAATACACTTCCGCCTGCACCGGCGAGCCCAGGGAGTTGTTTAAATGCCCGTCTTCTATTTTCTGAAAGGGGGGGAGAGAAAAAGAAAAGGGGGGTAAACGTGTGCGCGCTGCCAGGCCGGGGAAAGAAAGCATTCCTTTGTGTTGGGCACCAGAGCCGAGGCAGGGTGGGCCTTGGGGAAGCCAGGGAGAGAGCGGGAGAGCACCAATTTCCAAGACACCACCAGAGAGTCCCTTCCTCCCCCCCTTCCCCTCCTTCGCACAACAAAAGGGAGTCACCCGTTCCTCCCGGCGCTCCCCAGCCAGTGTGCCAGGCGCAATCTCCAGGCCGGCCGGGCTGCACCGCCTCTGCAGCAGGGACGCGGGGATGATGCCCAGGCGCGCGGGGTCTCGGGAGGCCCCCTGAATGCCACGCTGGGGTGGCGGAGAAGCCCAAGAGGGCACTGCCCGCCTGCCTCCCGACATGCCCTGCCGTGCCACGCACCTCCGGGTCGCAACGACCGTGCGCCTCTGGATTGCAACGGCCGTGCGCCTCTGGATCAAGCCCCGCGGTTTTCTCCCAGCGCCCCCGCCATTGCTGCGCTTTCCACGCAGCGGGAGATGGGGGGGGGGGCCCCACAGCCCCCCCGCGCCCCCCATCCACACGCACACGCACGCACGGCTCCCCCCCCCTTACCACCGCGTCCCGTTCTGCCACCGATCCCGCCATCTTGCCGCCCCGG